GACCTTCGTAAGAGTGCAAGAAGCATGGTCCAAGCCACCTTATCTCCCAGCTCTTACTAAACATAATTGTGCTCAACTCATCTTAGACATCAGGAAAATTTGGGCAAAGCCTGGGCTCTATTTCTAGAGCCCAAATTATAACCTCCTCCATTCTGGGAAAAAAAAAAAAAAAAGGGTGTCTTTGAACACTACTGCCAGATAATACTGATGCAAAGTACTTGAGCTGAAGGTATTGAAAGAACAGTGATGCCTGGGAGAATAGTTAAGCCTGAAAATTTTCCCAGCCCTATTGAAGGGAATTTTCCACTACTTTGTGATTTATTACATCTTTGCAAAGCAAACATGGTTTGTATCACCATGCAAGGATACATGCAATGGGCAAGAAGTGAGGGGAAAACTGTGCACTGAAAGAGCGTTACCCTGACGGGACACCAGCTGCAACCACTCCCCCGTACAACTGGGGAAGGGGGCTGAGGGTAGTAATAAGTCTAAACATCCCAGAGATATTTTAGTGACTATCAATGATCTGTGCTTTTTAATCTCTTCTACTGTAGCGCAAATTCCCTAAAATCAAACTAAATCTTTTCTCCGGGAAGATCGGGCTCTGAGGGCAGGTGGAGGCAAAGCAACACATAGCTATAATCTATATTTTAACCAAGTAACACCTTAATGTAGTCGCAAGTTATTTGCTCCGGTCTCTCAGTCTCCCTGCTCTGAACAGAGGCCACAGGAGGAGACCACTGTTCCCAGAAGATGCTGGATACAATATGGGAGCTGCAGTTCTCTATCTGTTTTACAGTAGCTGTGCTTTTTGGTTTCTGTCACTGGACAAGGGGCTATGAATCCCTGTCCCTAAACCAGCAGGTCTCTGGCCCTTTGTGGAAAGGATTGTTCGTTCTGACCAGACAGGCTGCCCCCCCTTTTTTTTTTCCTTCCTCTTTACGGTCTCTTTGATTCCAGTTTCTTCATTTTAATGGGTTATAGTGGGGAAAATAATCAGTGCAACCACAATAGCCACTGGGAAATCTAATGGCTACTTTTGATCATACATGTAGCTTAAGAACGTTAATTACCATAATTGTTTTTTTGCTTTTTCTCTTATGATGCAATTTGTAAGCACCCTTTAAGACATGTTTGTGGTTCTTGATGTTGCTCCTGTATTTACAGCTTCAGGAGCTCAAAACCATGGGGCTATATGGCCCTGTTCTCTGGCCATATTGCACTTAAGTGCTACTTTTACAGCTCATTTTGCTGGAGCCACTTAATATGGCACTGAGCATTTCCAAATGCTTTGCGTTTATGTTCATCTCCCACAACAACTCCCCGCAGTTTGTCTGCTTAGGCCAGTGCACCTCTGGCCCTTGGGGTGCTGGGGCTTAGGGGCATCAAGCATTGCTGAACAGGCAGTTCGGGGGGGGGGCAGGCTCTGGAATGCGATGGCAAACAGCTCCTGTTAACAGAGTTCAAAAGGGCCCTGGCTAAGCGTCCCTACCCCTCGGGTCCCACACGTCCGCAGCATTCCTCCTGTCCAGGCCAGCCAGCACCCTGCCCTGCACTTTCTTTGAGCCCCAGCCCACTAAATGGTTGCCGCATTGAATCAACACCCAGCAGGCTTTGTTCAGCCTGGCTGAATTGAAGAAACATTCTTTCCAGGCTAAAATACCAGACAGCAGAAATGATCCAGGACAGAAAGATGCATGCATTTCCACTCTTCCTCTCTTCCCCATTTAAATCCCGTTGCAGCAAAGCAGGGAACAATACTGTTCGTTAACGGTGATGGCACCACTTTGCTTGTAAAACAGATTTGTGGTTAAGTAAGTAGTGTGTATACGTGTATTTTTCTGCTGTGAAAGAGGACCTTATTTTGTCACAGCAAAATCAGATTGTGAGGTGCTATTCCTTTAGATGCTATAGGATTGCTGTCTAATTACAGGGTGTGCCAAAATAACCAGGGACAGAGGCAGATAATGCTGTTTACAGTCACCAAGATGTTACAAAAGGGTCATTAAAATAAGTAGGAGGCAGAACTAGAGAAATCACTTGGCAGCAAGGCAAATATTTGGCCCTTCAGGCTTTCCGGTGCCAGCCAAATAGCATCATAACATGAAGTTATCCTTCTTATCATTATCCTAAAAGAAGGAAGAATCACAGTGCTACCGGGAACCTGTATGTAGAGTAGGCCGACATTACAATGAATTTTGCACTTAAATGGAAATAATGATTCCAAATCTATAGTTATATCTACAGGCAAATCATGAACACAGCAACTATTAAGAATTTGCTGTCAACTAGAACTCTGTGTCTAGTTTATTCACAGCATCCTACAGCTTTTTCTTAACAAACAAAACCCCATAGAGCAAAACAAGAAGTCAATTTTCTTTTTGTTTGAATCCCCTCTAGCTGGTGGAGCGATATCAGAGATTAAAACATTAGGTATAAGATGCATTGGCATACTTCGCTTTTCTGTTTGGTTGGTTGGTTGTTTTGTCAAAGCTGTTTTTATCACTCTTTTCAAAATGATCCTGTAACTCCTGGCTACACCACCTATAAAGGGAACAGCAGTGTAAAGATAACAGAGTTTTCAGTGTGCATCAACCTTGTCGATCTCTTCACAGAACGACAGCATTACTGAGGATGGAAAGAACCTGTAGTGATCTTGTCCAAAATCACCCCTGCTCAAAGTGGGGTAAATTAGAGCAGGTTGTTCAGCGTTGTATCCTGTCAGATGTGGAGTGTCTCTGAGCATGGGGAGTCCCAACAACCTCTGTTGGCAACTTGTTCCAGAGTTTGGCCATCCTCATAGTGAAAAAGGGGGGTTTTCTTTTTTTTTTTTTTTTTTGTGTATTCAAATGGAATTTCCTGTACTGCAATTTGTACCCTTGCCTCTTGTCCTATCACTGGACATCACTGAAAAGACTCTGGCTGCATCTTCTTTTCTCCTCTCCCAGATCAGGTATTTATATATATTGACAAATTCTCCCCCCGGCCCTTCTCTTGACCAGGCTGAACAGTCCCAGCTCTCTCAGCCTCCCCTGCTACAGAAGACACTCCAGTCCCGTAATCATCTTCATGGCCGTTTGCTTCATTCTCTTCAGTAAGTCCATCTCATTCTTGCACTGGGGAGCCCAGAACTAGGCACAGCACTCCAGATGTGCCCTCACTAGTGCTGAGTGCAGAGGAAGGATCACCTGCCTTGACCTGCTGGCAATGCTTTTCCTAATGCAGCCCAAGACACTGTTGGCTGCCTTTGCTGCTGAACATTGCTGGCTCATGTTCAACTTGGTGTCCAGCAAGACACCCAGGTCCTTTTCTGGAAAGACGCTTTCCAGATCGTCAGCCCCCCCAGCTTTGCACTTCTCCTTGTTGAATTTTGGGAGGTTCCTGTCAGCCAATTTCTCCAGCCTCTCCACATCCCTCTGAATGGCAGCACAACTGCATCACGTATCAACCGCTACTCCCAGTTTTGTATTGTCTCCAAACTTGCTGAAGGCACACCCTGCCCCTTCATCCAGATCATTTATGAAGATGTTAAACAGTGTCAGTCCCACTACCCGTCTCAGTCACCACTAGTGTCGGGCTTCCAACTGATTTTCATTCCGCTCTTCATAACCCTCTGTGCCTGGCACTTCAGCTGTTTTTCAGACACTGGTTCTGGCAGTTTCCCTTTGCCAACAGGATGGCAGCCTTCACTTGACAATCTGCTAGACTTGTTTGACTAAGCCATCAAAATGGGATGGATACTAGATAAAGCCTATCTTAATGTTTTGAATTAAACAGAGGATCAAATTGACCCTGCAAATACAAAGTTCTCCAAGTCTTTCAGTGCTACAAACTACGTGGTTCTGTTTTCAGATTTTTGGATGCCTTGTCCCCATGGAAGTCCCTTAAAATTTTGTCTACTACTTCAAATGAAGTGGTAGGACAAGCAATGTGCTTATGGGGTCATAACATCATCACTGACAACACCAGACTTTCAGTCCATCTAGACACGAAAAAAGGGCAGTTAACAGTAACATGTAAGCCACAACAAATCTTGAAAGTGCACACACAAAAAAACAAGCCCTGGAGAGTCTGTCTGGTCAGTGAATTCCTTCTGTCTGGTAGTGATGAAATAGATGGCAGTTCTTCAGGGTTGTCTTTGAGTACTTCTGGTATGAGGATTTGAGTGCGATAGTTAACTGTCAAACCAAACCCATCAATCAACTGCTAAGGTATGAAATGATCCCACTTCTTTTGCTTAGTCTTAGATGTTGCCTGGAATATAATTAAAGTATTTGAAACTTTCTAGCTCAGAAAAACCCAAGAAAAACCCTCAGAAAAGATGGCAGTAAGCAGAAATATTTGGTCTAAGTTTTTGGAAGTAACATCAACAATAACTTTTCGTCGAGATTTAGGGTCTTCCTGGGTGACACTGTAGAAAGATAGAAGAATCCTGAAACATTCATATTTTCCACAGTTTTCATGAATCCTAAATGCAAGGTATCAAACACTCCAGGAAACAAAAGCAAAGGAAGGTGTTTGACTTGTTGTTTGGCAGTGTTTGCTTCAAAGGCTACACAGGATGATAGTGTTGACTGTCTCAACTCTCTCTTCTTCCTCTGTTCTCTCCCTTAGTTCTGTATCTTTTTCTAGGAATCTATCTACTGCACATTGGCTTCTCTGTCTCTTTCATACTGATACATTGGGTCTGCAGTCATAGTTTTGTGATCTTAATTTCTCACAGTCTTGCAGAGTATTATGAAGAAGAGTGACTGGTAAAACATATGCCATGCGTTTGTGATTATGGAGCCAGGACTCATCAAGGGACTTGGGTGACAGTGCCAGATGCCAAGGAGTGGCTTACATTTCCAGGATACCTTTGATCCCCTCTGCACCCCTACAGAAACGAGGACCTCACAGAAATGATAGTGGGCAAGCTAGTAAAATTAATTCAAATTATCCAGGCAGTCAAACCCCTTGTTTGAGATAACCGCTTGATGAGGCAAGAGATTGTCCTTTAAATACATTTTCCAGACAGTTTCCTGGGCTAGGATGAGGCAAGAAAATCATAGAAGGTGGTGTAAGAAGAATGTTGTGCCAAGCAGCTTTGTGGAGGGGAAGGTGGAAGGTGAAATGCAGCTTATTCCCACAGGCTCCAAGGCCTGGTGGAAATCTGTGTGGCAGAAATCATGATGAGCCTACGTATGGAGCTGGTGCCACATGGCTATCTGTCTTCTGGGGTTCCTCAGCATTTCTTCCCAGTGGTTCCTCTCTGTGCCCATGAGGTGTAAGCCCAGGCTGCACTTGCCAAGGACATAGCTCTGCCCAGCACCATCCTGGCTCAGCATTTCCAGCTCCACGCTGGAGGCACGCAGGAGCTCATGAGGCACCTCAAACATGATCATCTCATTCCACACAGGGTTGATCCTGTGTTTTGCACGCTTGGTCTGCTTCTTCTTCAGCTTCAAGGACTGATGCCTCAGTGTCACCTTGACAGAAACATCTGTATAGGAAGTGAAGAGAGACACCATATTAATGAGCATGCAGCAAAATGAATGCAAGAGAATTTTAACTGGTGTTGTCAGACTGAGAGAGAGAACATCAGAAACATTGATCTTGAGGGGCTGGGTTTTCACTTTTTAGAAACTATTCAAATCTGTTTTTCTAAGCCAAATATCTATTTTTTTTCTGCCAAACACCACCCTTCCCGCTTTGTTTCTAGATTTACATAATAGCAGAAACAATAGTCTCTGTTTTCTTGCTATTCTACTCACCATTGCCAAGTAGGTCTTTCAGCTGCTTGGAATGGAGATTTTTAGCCTTAATAATCACCACCAGCAGGCGGTTAGCTGCTGGCAGGTAGCTGATAGAGAGCAGAACTTCCCCGTGGCCCGTAGATGGCTCCTGGAAACAGAGACACAGGAAGGGTTAATTTTTTATACAATCTTGGCCATAACATTAGGAAAACTAAGTAGTACAAGGTGATGGGTGGAAGGTTGTGGACCAAGTTGTCTCCCTGTCTTTGTACAGGAGATCATTCCAGTTACACTGGTAGAGAATAAACTTGTCGAAGTTGTCTGAGAGGGCTCCTCTGCTCATAAGGCCCTCATCTGAGTTACTGCTTTCTTTTGTAACTGGAAAGTAACTGCTTCCTACAATCTACTTTTAGCGGAATTTTTAGTCAGAAGAAGAGGATTGGGGGCTGAACTACCTGCAAGTAGTCAGACACTCCTTTCCTAAGAGATTATCTAGTTACCCTGTATTTATGTCCCCTACTTCCATTACAGCTTTTCATAATTCATTCTTCATTTCAGCCGCTGCTTTTGTCAGGAGGCTTTGACTAGCTGTGGACACCGGTCCACACCACCTAGCAGGAGTGTAGGGCTCCCTGGGAAAGAGCAGGTGATACCCAGGGCTGTGCCACACAGCCAGGCTCTGGAGCTGGATTTGAACATTCTCTGACACCCTTACTTGCTGTGGGAAAAAACCCAGCCAACCTGAAATCTTCCATGAGCCGGCACAGTGCCTTCCCTCGGGCCTGCGACCACACCTGAGGGCTTTTGTCCAGGGCAAATGCTCCAAACCATCATTTTTCCCCCCCTTTTCCTTTCTTTTACTACTTTCTTCCCATTAGTGATTGGACCTTTCTCCCCTGCCTTCCTGCTTGCCCTGGACAAGCTCCCCTCTCCTGGGAGAGCAGGGCCATGTCCTCCTCAGGAGCTGATGAAGAAGGAGAGAAACGCACACACTGGTGTGCGCAGAGCTGCCAGCCTGTGGCAAGGGGCAAAAGGGGAGCAGTTATTCTCTCAGTGAGTAGGAACTCGTGACAGAAATCTGGTTTAGTGTGAGGTTAATGACCCAGAAGCGTCCCAGAAAGCCAACATCAATTCAATAGACTCTCTTTGGACTCCTTAGCATGATTTACATGCTTTAGGACAGACAGCCCTTCTCCAGGCCATTTCTGTGCTCTGCATTCTCACTTCTAAGTGAGCCATAAATATTTCAAATTAAGTTTTCACCTGGTTACTTGCAACAGGCAAGGACAGGCCCCTGTGTGCCCCACATGAGCTGATGAACTCTACAGAACATGACTGTCATCGCTGTCTGGTTTGAATGACTTATTTGTTGTGCACAAATCAGGTGGGAGGCGATTAGCAAGGAAGCCTGAAATTCAATTCCAAATCAACCCAAGTAAATATTTTTTTTTAATGCACTCAGATAGCAATGAAGGGCTCATATGCATTTCACTTACATAAATCCTGTCCTAAATCCAAGCAGATCTTAAAAACACGCACACATAAAAACAAGCAGAGGCAGATTCAAATAGTCGTTGGTCCACTACAAAAGAATGGGTGTTTGTACATGGAGGGACAAATACAAATACCACCTCAATACAAACCCACTATATAGGCAAGTCATAAGCTTCTTTTGTTTATTTGTCCCATCTACATCTCACCAGGTCCCACTCTATAGCTCTTGGCCAGAATTTGGTTCCTGTAGCTTCAGGAACAGATAGATACAGTGGAGACTGGGGGGTAAGGGGTGGCAGGGCTCTGTAAACGTGCACGCACGCACGCACGTACATGAACACATGTCTTGCACATACATGCCACATTTTGTGCTTATGGCTTTCTAGTTCCTAATATTCTAATCAAGTTTTTGACCACCTTGTCTGTACCCACGTGAAACCAAAACCTACAATGGTTGGTCTCTGCTGGAGTTTTGTGTGAAGAGACCAATCCAGAGGTACTTTTCCTTACCCCTCTTTCTGGGTTTTGGGGGGGGGTGTGTATTTTGTTGTTGGTGGTTTTTTTTCTCTTCTCCCTATTAAATCCATAACCTTCACTTTGTGCTGCAACCTTGCAAATTCACACAACCACCAGAGCTTCAGCTTCCTTTCTGTGCAATACGGATAGAAAGGATCAGGGGATCATCAATGAATTATGTGTGCAGGGCACCATGAAATCACAAACGGGAAGGTGCTATGCGAAGAGCAGCTATCTTCGCTGTCATTAGCAAAGCGCTGGGAGGGAAGGAAGACAAGATAAGATATCAGTCTTCAGTATCTACACTTTACATTGCTCACAGCAGTCCATGAATTCCTGAATACTAACTCCATTACCAGGTTAGCTGTAAGCTCCCTGCTGAGCTCCTTCTCTTTTGTGTGGGGGAATTACTGGGAAGGTAGGAATGAAATTTCTGCAGCTGATGGCTTTTCAAGGAAATGTCAGACTTTAAACAAAGCCCAGTTAACTTTGTTCCTGGATGGATGCTGTCAAAAATAGCTCCTCTTTTTTGATCAGCTTTTCCTCACTCCCTTCCGCTCTGGTTCTCAATGAATGATTCAGGATCTGTACATAAGCTATCTGTGCAGTGGTTGGCTCTCTCAGGTCCCAGATGACGCAAATTCAGCTTTCACTGCACATCCTCAGCTCAAACTGGGGCACTGTTCAGCAGTACTGTTAGTGTTAACCTTGTGCTGTCAGCCTGGAGAAGAAATGAATGCTGCCTTGTTTCTATGCATAGTTGGGAAGCTGGACCAAGGCAGAGTACCCAATCAGGACTCCATCAGGTGTACTGGAGTGACAAGTGACCATTGCTGTGAACAGGCTGTTCCTTGGGTGTTGCTTACAAAGCAGATACTACAGTAGATTGGGGATGGGAGTGGGGCGGAGAAGGGAAGAGCTACCTATCTCGATTTAGGAATTTAAATAATTATATTGGAATAATTTCTTTTGGATATCTCTTTTTACAGCAACAAACTGGGAACTCATTTCAATTTAGGGCTATTAGACAAATATTTAGCCTTGTGCTTGAAGTTTATCTGAATCATCAGACCACCCATTTGTTTCTGCTGCCTGTTTCCCTGCCACAGGTTTTTTAAAGTGGCCAACCCTATTAGCATTCAAGTGGCAATCAGATAAATTAGCATTATTGGAAATCAAAAATGCTAACTCTGTACTCTGTGTCAGTGGCCAACTCGGTGGAGAGCCCTCACCATTGACAGTGACAGGCAATAATTTATTTCAGCATGCTTAGCGACAATGTTGGTGGTGTTTCACATTGCTCACCCCATACCATATCAGAGCACAACAGGTACCTGTTCATAGCGATGTACTAGTAGCAACAGTAGCAGCACCCTACTGCCATGTTGTTAAGTATATTGCTGCTGTGAGAACAATAATCTAGTTCATGTCAGGGAAAAGGCCCCTGAGGAAATGTACAAGAAGTTAGTGCACAGGAAGCACCCCCTGTACCTACTTCAAGTACTGTTGGAATCCTTCCTTCCATTTTCCCTGTGCAGCTGGGAAGGTGTGGATAAGGAAGAAAAGGGAGGTTTTGATGTTTAAGAAAATCAACACAATGCAATAAGTGATATTTTAACATCTCCCAGAATGAGTAGCACTGATGGATTGATCCCAGTATGGATGAGTGGTCTCCTAGCTTAAGGCTTCCTGGAGTACCACCATATGCCCTACCTGCACCCAGGTCTGCAGAACCCCTCCTCCTGCTCTGTAGGCACTCTGGTATTTCAGCTCTGGCCACCACCATCCTGCATTGCTAATTCACAGAAACTCACGTAACTTTTTCTAGACATAGGCTTTGAATTACTCATATCAGTGTCAGATCATCATGTAATTGAGGGAGGAGGAGAGGGAGTTTTGACACATCATTACTGCTGGGAGCTGTAGATGGAAGGGCTGGGTTGATGGGCCCTGAATTCTGAAACAGTTAGCTACAGACCGACACACAGCAGCGCAGAGTGACCTCTGCAGTGACATGTCACACCTCTAAACCTGGCTCCAAACAAATAAAGCCACACAGTGACATGCAGCGATCTTGGAGAGGGCTTCTCTTGTCCAAACAATTAATCATTAGTTTCTGGACTACCAACACAGAATGAGTCCATACCTTCTCTGGGGTCTTTAGCCTTTCCCACTGGGCTATCCCAAAGGACTCTATGTTAGCAAGGCTCAGTTTGAGTTCCCCCACAATGCTGTGTCTGGAGAACTTGTCGCAGTTTCTCAGGGTGAGAGTCAATGTCCCCTCTGGCCTCTCCTCCTCAGTTAATGGGAATCGCAGGACCTCCTCCCAGAGGGTGTGAAGTACCTTCTTCTTCAGCTCTGTCTGGGCCTCAGCAATGCCAGACTTGCTCACCAGGGTGCCCAGTATGTAGCAATGGCAGCTAGCGTCTTGGTCCCCACTCATTCTGCCATGCATAGCTGGAAAAGAAAGATTGATTCTAAGGACCTCTCACAAAAGACAGCCCTGAAATATCTGTGGTTAAATTGCTTATTTCATTACAGCCATAAAATAAAACAGCTTTATAGACATTGATCCCTGTTCCTGCTTGCATGGGGCAGACTAAGCCATGACCCCATGCTGTGGTGTTTTCCTCATGCTGCACAATGTTCTTGTCCTTCTGACACTGCAGAAGGATTCTGTTAGCATTTGGGTGAGCAACATCTGAGTTCAAGGAAACATGCTCTGTCAAAAGATGGAGAGCAGCAGTAAGATGAGACACAGCACGGGGATGGGCAGCTTACTTTTACCTTGGCACAGAAAGAAAGCTTCTTACAAAGTCTTTGAAAGCAGGATGGTCAGTCACAGACATCAGAGATGGGTGAGACCTCCCTTTTGGCACACCTCTCTGCAGGCCAGTGTGGGACACGTCTAAGGGTTATTACATTCTGCTTGTCCAACCTCTGGTAAATGACTCCTTTGGAAGCTGTCTCACAGCCCAAAAGATCTGTGTCAAGAGACATTTATCCCTAATTTTATATCCCTTTTATGTTGAAAAGCCTAGAGTGAGAATGGCATTTCACACTCCTCTTCAGCTGCATCAACAGAATTGCTCTGCCTTCTCCACAGCAAAAGGAGCATGCCTTCCTCCGAGGGATTATGAAACAGCATGGCTTTGTGGGCAAAACTGAAGCCCTTGCTGCAGCCAGTACAAGGACAACTGCTCCCGAGCTGTCAGGTCTCATGGTTCGCAGAGGTCTCCTGGTTTCTCAGGGGAGTGGAGCTGGGGAGTAGAGCCAGACGCTACCCTGGTGGCAGTGGGGCACCCAGGGAGTGCAGGAGAGTCAGGGTGGCAGCCCACAGACATGGGTGTCCACCCTGGATGGGAGCTGTAGGCTTGCTGCTGGCAGGTGGCCCACCGCAGCAGCTATCATTTAGCACCCTTTCAATTCTCACTTCAGAGGGTATGATTTGATTAGTTTTCCACAGAGATCTGCACTGTGCATGAATTATTCAGTCAGTTTATTTTACTTTCCCAGAGGAACTGGTGATGCTCTAGCCCTGAGTGGAGAACCTGTTAGAGTTGTCAGTTCCCACTTCAAAGAGTGACACAGAGCCTGGATGCCTGGCCAGGCACAGCCAGAGGGACCTTCCTCAATGTCCTACAAGATAAGCCTGGTGCCTCCAGCTTAGCCTTTGACTTGACTTGAGGAAGAAGCAGTAGGGAGTGGGTCAAGTTGAAGAATGAAAGTTATAGAGAGGAAGGGGATAGCAACCCCCTTCCCCCTGCCCCCAAAGGAAAAAATAAAAAGAGGAGGTTGCTTTGTTCTGTGTCTGGGACTGTAGAAGCCCATCTTGGTTCCTGATTTCTGCTTTTGAGCTGTGCAAAGTGTTGTTCCCAAGCCATGCCCTGAATGCTCACTTCAAGCAGTGACATTGCCAGGTACTTCTATTCTGCAAGCCCAGAACCAGTGAAACATCCAGTGGTCCTGGGGACATATGTTGATGTTAAGGTAGGAGGGGAACTCTCTACAAAATCAACAGGTGTCTTGTACCCTCCAGATGAAGAATCACCAGTACACTGCTGCTTACCTTCCAGAAGGGCCACACACAGCTCGGCTTTTTGTTGATCATACGCAAGGGAGTAGCGCAGCTCAGGGGCCTGGTTACAGCTGGCTGCCCTCTCGGGGTTCAAGTGTTCTGTGACACACACGTCCTTTACCACACCTGAAACTGAAATAACCCCTTTAGCAAGCTGGTCTTCACCTTCCAAGGAGAATAAATCCACCCTGTCATGACTCAACTTTCCTAAATGTCTTACTATTCCTGCACCTCATATGTTCCTTCTTCCTCCGTCACCATATCTTATTTCTTCTCTGTTTTCTAACACTTTTGGCTCTTTCTACAGCACTTGGACAAGCCTTTTGCTCTCTACCACCCTGTGCTCTAAGATGGTTCACACACTTGCTCTTTCACCTTGTGCCTAGGCCAAGATGTCTAAACTACATTAATCACTGGATAGATTGGTTTAAATCGTTTTTAACTCACATTGGTGAATTATATCTTGTGTTCTTTGCAACAAGAACTTGAGTCTGTGTATGAGCTACCATCTAACTCTATGCTAGTTCAGATCTCTCTAAACGTTTCTTGGTTTTAACAATACAGTCTTTGTCATGCAGAAGACATCTATTTTCATAGCACTTGACCAGGTTGAAGATAATGAGCTTGGGAAGTTGTGAGGCAGTTTCTCCACATGTGATTTTGAAGCTGAGTACATATTTCATACTGAAATAAAGCAAGTTTCAAGACCGAAAGGGAAGCCACAGCTTTTTGTCATCAAAAGCTGTAATAAAGCAAGCTCAACTCTGATTCATGCAGAAAGCACTAGTAGGATCAGTCCTCCTAAAAATCTCAGCCGCAGTCCAGACCAGCTGAATGTGGCAGTGAAAAGAGTACTCAACAATTCTTGCTTTATTTCAACAACAATTGAGCCATGAAACCAGGCACAGCAGGAAGCAAACTTGCTTGTGCCGTTAGCAGTGCAGAGAGACTCTTACACCAATAAAGCTTTACCCTACATGCAGCCATCATCCTTCAGCCTCTCCACCCTATCATCTTCTCCCTGACACCTAAGGATGTGGCTCAGACAGTCTTTTCCTCCAATGCAGCTGCTTCCTGTGGTACTTTCTTTTCCATATTCACAAGTCTCAGGGTGAAAAGGTGAATGTAGCAATTGTCCTCCCAGAAGGACAAAAATATAATCTCAAGCAATTTTAAAAAACTAAAAAGAGTTTTCTTTAAAAAAATCATGACAGATGGCATTGTGTCTCTGGCAAATCTTTAGAAAGGTTTTATTAATGCGGTAACCATGAGTCAATTATCCTGTTAAAAGACAACTGTGAAGGTAAAAATAAGTATGGAAGCAACCCAGACATGCTGCCAGATGTATATCATTAACTTTGCATTTTGTCTTAGGCTCCAGGAATCTTATGTTCCAGGCTTTGGCATGTTACCCTTTGGGCTGGCTGGAAAACAAAAATTCTGTTTGGCAAAAATGTCTGAGGTGTCAGCCTTTGGTTTCACTGCACAACAAGCCAAGACCATCTCAGCAAACCAGTGGGAAAAAAAGCAGCAGAGAAAGTACAATCATCAGACACAACTACATCTGTGTTATCTGAATGTCCTGATGAGCCCCATGACTACTTTCTATTAAAGACAGGCTTTGAAGACAGAACTCACTTACAATCTCCATAATAAGAGAGCAAAAAGTGCCTCGTCTTCATTTTCACATTTATCTCTCTAACTACAATCACATTATGCTCAGAAGTATTACAGATCTACACCAGAAAAGCAATTGTTAGTCTGAAGACCAAACACTCCTACCGTTTTGAGGGAGAACAAACAGCTCTTCATTGACTTGTATCTTCATCCTGTTCTCATCCAAACCAGTATGTTTTCCAGTAGCCGGTTCTTCTGTTGTCTTCAGAGAGTACTGCGTGTAGTTAACAATTTCAGGTGAAGTTACTACTGGTTTGGGGCCATAAATGTTGGGAAACTTCAGCAGTGCTCGAGGCTGGACTGGCTCTGCAGTTTTCTTAACGTTGAACTGAAAGTGAAAACCTTGTTTATTACTTTGCTCTAATGAGACTAATTTTTCTTATTCTCTAAATGTTAAATGAGCTGAGACAAAAGGTGAAAAGACGATGCCTCTGGTCATTCTTACCATCGTTGTTTGTTGTAGAAACCACTGCCTGTGTGTCTAGAGGTTTTCTTGCCAAAGCCAATACCCTTCTATTTGGTGTATGTCTTTTCAGATTTACTCCTCTACAGATGTTTGATTGCAACAAGAAAAAGATATGTTCTTATTGTTTATTTTTCCACTGTTCCTGTACCAGTTAATCCTTCTTTCACAGGTCTGTGTTTTCTCTTAGCACAGAAATCGACCATGAAGTTCATTTTGCTATGATTGAGCTATGGTGTTTTCTACCCTGATGTTTGAAGTCAAATCTAAGATCAAGAGGCTATAGCCACCTACAGATTTCAGAACATTTTACGTGATTATGTAGTAAAGCATATTAGAAAGGCATGGATATTACTATCACTTTGAGCAAGTACGACCATGGTGAAATGAGACAAAGGAGAACTGGTTGAACAAATGAGCCCTGCAATGGCATACCAAGAGTATTCAGTGGTCATCTTGGCCTTTTGGACTATCTCTTGGCTCTGTGGACCAGAGCTCTACCTGGACCTCAGACACACATTTGCCCTTTATTATACCATGATTGAAATCTGGATTTATGTCCAAGTTTGTTCTTAACCTTTCAATTCCCTGCTGAATCGTGAACATGCAATGAACAGAAGAACCTGAAAGATGGTGTAATGCTCAGGCAGCCCAAGCAAGGATCATTACAAAGGCAATACTGTTCTCCCAAAAGAATGAAAAATATCTTTTCCTTATGTCCCAAGAAAGAATCCTGCCTGCTCACAGCTGAAATTGTTCCTGATTCATTTATTTTGGATTCATCAACAGGAAAGAACAAAAGCTGACTAGCAAATGACCCAGTCCCTTGCAACAGATTTTATTAATGTTTCCAAAACATGAAGGACAAAAAGCAGAAGTATAACTGCCATTTTGGTTGATTGTTGTGCAGTGGGATTCTCTCCAACCCCTCTGCCTGCCAACCTATTCTGTGTTAAGTTTAGATCAAGGGTGAGCCAGAAAATGTTTGAAAATGTAATTAAAGTTTTTCATTACTCTCTTTGTTTCCTGTTAATAATGAATGTAGATGATGCCCTGAAGCTCTTGTCTGTGTTGGGACTTTGTGGTCCCAGTTCACACGCCCCGAGGGAGCATACCTGTTCCTCAAGAAATAGATCTGAAGAAAGAGAGCAGTCTTGGACTTTAGCTCTTTAGTCATACTCTGCTTATGGAGAACATAGTACTATGGTTAACACTCACTTGGCAGTGGTAAAAAACTAATTAGGTCAGTGACTCCATCTTCTCAAGGCAGCCAGTGTATCACTGTTTAGGAAGTCCACTATGTAACACAGCATTTTGTCTTGTCTGATTTTAAAGGCTCTGAAAAAGAAGTGCATTCAGCTGAGTTTAGGTATTATGTAAGTCATACAGTGTGGGTCTGTAAGCGAGATCCCTCTTTTAGAGGTGTGAGCCTCATCAGTCCTAAAATAAATAGGAAATTCAAAGTTACTCATTCAAATCGAATGCAGTTTTCCATTCTTCTAAAATTAAAGCAGATCAACCAAGCAAAATATGTTAGGAATCACTAGACAACAGTTTGAAAAAAACAGGTCGCTTTTGTTCTGCAAAGGCATTCCTTCTAACAGGCATACCGTGCCTGCCACAGTGGTCAACCTCTGCTCGTCTCTCTTTCCTGAAGCCACTGTATAAGGCTGCTGTCCTACCAGTCACTGACCATCACACCAGAGCATTATGCCTGCATTGCTGTGTGCTGCTAGTACATGAAGCACTTCGGGATCCTTCAGGATGAAAAACACCATAAAAATGTGAGGAATTGTTAGTACAATCTTTTCTTCCACTTGCTAAAAGCCAGACATTTAGTCAGGAAATCCATCAGCACACAGCAACAAAGAGCTCCACTGGGTCTAAATATTCCTCTTGTCTGTCTGCTCTGCAGAATTAGAGATGAGAGACATATGCAAGCACAGTGGGACTAGCCCACCCCCTCTTCCAACTGCATCTGCCTCTTTATTATTTTTGCTGCCAGCTCTGTTCCCAAGTGCTGTCTGCTAATCTAGTTACAGAGCAGTGCCCTATGGAAGTTCCCTTTGCAAATCTGCAGTGGTATCTTAAATGAAGAGATGAGCAGAAGACTTCAGATAGTTCTGCATAAAATACATGAAAGCAAAGAAACCAAAAGTGGCAAGGAGGCTGCAACTGACCCTTCTGGGTCCCTGCCCAGTGTCACTCAAAAAATACAACAGATTGTTGCCATTGCTGGATGTGTTTAGGAATCTTCATTCTGCATGTTTGCTGGGACTTTGTGAATTTACAGCAGTTTTTCATTGTTCTGTAGACCTATCTTTCTGTTCGAACTCTTCCTCCTCACGTATGCAGGGCATGTCCATGGGGACCCTGTGTCTATAGCAAATACGAGCATCACTGTCATGGGAGGCATGCCAAGTGAATAAAATGCAGTCTTGCTTCATCTTTCTTTTGTCATCTCTGCTTATCAGAATCAGTGGCCCTGACAGCCTTCAATAATTAAGTATGTCAGCAGTGACTAGGACATACAGTGTACTAATATAGTCAGAAAAAAGTCCTGACAGGACAATTTATAAACATAGACACAGATGATAAAACTTTACAAGCTCAGAACTCAATTTGAGATTCATTCCTTCAAGGTGTATAGACTGATTCTGCATCAGTGACAGCATAGGAGTATGCATGTTCCTTTCAAGAAAACTATTTTAATTTGAAAGTATTGTTAAACATATGGAGTATCCAAACTAAGAACATTTTGCACTTTTTGTGACAGAATGTTCATTCGGCTGCTATAATCTGGTCTGATTTCTTTTAAAAAACCCCAAACAAACCAGTAACATTATAAATACTTCTACGATGCTAAAAGAATACAATCACTCAAGTAATAGTGATACACTGAGTGCAAGTTGAATAGTTTGATCCCCTGTTGGTCAAATACTGGATTAAGTTATGGCAAAACTTGATGAATGTAGAAATATTGTGAGGACCACAACCTAATAGCTGCTGGGTACTGGAGGCTTAACTGCGCTTTACAGTGACTTAGTGCTTATTTCAGTCATGCAAGCAGAATGACACCCTGGAGGACAAGCTCCAGGACAGATTAACACTTTCCCTAGGTGTTTACCAAAATGCTGTATAAAAGAAAAATATCCAGTCCAAGGATGGAGTTAGAGTAAGAATTTGAGAGGGTTCTGAGCTGGACGGTTACAACAACAAAAATTTGTAGAAAGAAGCTGATGGTAAAGTTATCTGTGAGCAATGTTGTTCCAGTAAACAGCTAGAAAAAATGCTATGCAAAGGGATATGACTGTCGAAGTTAGACATTTCTCATTCATTTTAACAGTAAACTTGAAAAATCTCAGCATTATTGTACATGCTTATATACAGGAGTTGGCAAATCCCCTGTATGGGTTACAGAAGGCAAGAAAGGAGCCAGGAAAGAACACGACAAAACTATCAAACAGAATAGCAGGTGAAATTCATCCTAGGGAAATATAAATAGGTACTAGGTGGTATTCACTGTGCTCATGGATGAACACTCAGAACTAGCAGCAATCTCTTGAGAAGCCCTAAGCTCAGTGCAGATGTTCATCCATGGTCAGTGGAGCCCTCCTCCCACCCTCCAGCAACCACTAGCTCTGATAATGCGATTCTGTGCATCTGCACCAGATCTTACAATTAGTAGGTTTGGTCACCTTTCCTCAAAACAAACTGCAACAGGAGCATGAGGATGCCATGGCTCTTTTCTACTAAGAGCCTAAGGAGGTAGCCAGAGAGAGACTGAGTATGTATTACAAACATTAGAGAGAAGTTCAATTAGTACACTCTTTAAGAATACAAAACTAATAGGCAGCTCAGATAAATAAAAGGCAAACAAAGACTGTTATACAATGGATCACTGGCCTTTGGAATTGGCTGCTATGGTATAACATTGGGTTGAATGGCTAGATGAAAGCGAAAAGAACATAGGCACATACAAACATCAAGAGCAACAGCCAACAGGTAATACTTTCAGAGACGGACCAGTGCTATAGCTCATGCTGAAGACCGTAGTCAACCAAAGAAATCAGTCAAATATTTCCCTTTGAAGGAGAGCTTCCCATTAATAAGTATATTAGAAGGGTCCTATAATTCCCCTTGCTCTCTCTTCTCTGTACTCAGGAGTACATCATGGGTTTTGGATTCTAACAAGAAAGAAAGACCACATAGGGATGCCTGACATTATCCATACTCCACATTGCTCTTACAGTAAGTGAAAAAGCAATTCACAATGTGACAAGATTGTCCAGTCATCGCACTCTAGATTCTCATTTCCATTTTATTATCATATCAATGCCTTAGTTTAACTTCACACATAATTTATCCCCTCAGTTAGACGGGCAGAGGGAGGAGGAGGGATGGTTTTCACAAGAAACCAGCTGTTGACAGGGAGCTGTCCTGCAGGAACTGTAAGATATCGTGAATAGAGTTAGAGAAATAGCTGCTATAGGAGACCCCAGCAGGAGTCATCTCCTCTTTACAATGCTGCATGCCACCTGGTAAAGTCCAGTCTTCTCTCCTCAGGAAATGATTTCCCTTGTGATTTAGCTTGACAGCTAAGCAGCATTTCCAGTCCTCCTCCCATATTTTTGCCGTTAGCAGCTTTCTCTTCGTCGATGTGGCAGCTGTCTCCTGCTCCAATAATTCTGTGGGTCACTCAGCCCGTCTCTGTTTTTCCCTCACTCCTCCTCCCGTTAACATGTTGTTACATCCTGAACACAGTAAGCATATAAATAGGCAGCATAAATCACATGCTGAGTAGCCTAACAGAAGTGGCATTCCCACCCTCTGCATTTAAAGAAAAATCACAGAGTAAATTAGAGAGACTGTGTCTTACTTGCTGGACTGGCTGAAGCACACTGGGCTTAGTATTTTCCGTGTCCTCCTCTTGGTCCTTTTCTGAGAGTCCTTTCCCAGGTTGCTTGCATTTGCAGAAGCAGGTGAGACCGCAGAGGGCAAGGATGCTAGTTGCAGTCCCTAAGGTAGCCCCCAGGGCTATAACTGGGGCAGATAAAACCATTGTCCTACGCTGCACAGGAATAAAAAGCACAGAAACCCTGTGACTCCTTCTTCTCCCTGGGAGAGCAGCTCTTGCACATCCACTCCGATTTCTAGCCTGGCTTCATTCTCCTTGGAAGTCTGAAAAGAATTCTCCTGTGCAGCAAAGAAAAGGGACCAATCTAGAGTCAGAGATAAATCATCCCACCTTTGCTAGGCAACAAGGCTACCTTTCTATCCTGATGATGGAGTTTCTTCTCCCGGTCGGGTAGAGGAAATAGTGATTGTGGTGCCTGCAATCTCCATATAGCTGCAAACAGGCAGTTTTCATTGAAGCCTGTTCTCCAGCTCCACTGGGAAAAGTCTGATGTGTGATAGAGAGGAAAGACGTCAGCAGAAGGGGCTGGGCCTTGCTAGCTAACTCACAGAAAGTGCATCCAAATGTTTGATCGGCTCTCTAGCAATATTTCTGAGGGCTAGCTTGCTAATTTGCTCAAGAGGTTGAATTTTTCTGTCTTAAAGCAAAGATAGTGATTGCTGAAAGGTATTGGCCTAAGCAGCTCTGTTATGAGAGCATTGCACGATAGTGGTGTAGTCAAAGTAAAGCCTCCGTGTAAGTCAGGCAAAACTTTCTCGTTCTGCAGAGGCTGGGGGACAAACACGTACAAGAATTAAGCACTGTCCCACACCTCACCAGCTTCCGCTCAAAGCACAGGGTCTAAACCTTTTGGAGCTGCTTTCTGTAGCATCAGTGCAGAGTAGCACTTCTATTCAAAAAGGCAGCAGAAAATCCTACCAAAAAAGGCACACTGGCATATACGCTGCTTCCTCAGGAGAGGATGAGAGAGCAAAAACTAATGCTAGATATTACTTGTGCTGATTATTACGCTGGTATCAGGTGGCGGGCTGGTGAGTGCAGTACAAGAACCTACATGAAGACACCTGAAGGGCTACATGTCCATCTCAGTTTTCTCTTGAGATGATGGAGTGATTAACTTTCTCTGACTCATTTATTTTTGCCTTATTTCTCAGACTGCCCAGCTCGGGCAAGAGGAGAATAAATGCCATCTTTTGGTGTGTTTCTTGTGACACATACAACCATTTTCTGGGTTGCTTCACAAGGAGCTCCTGGTGGTCAGAAGATGATTATAATTCTGTGTCACTATATATCTGAACCAGAGTGGAACCAGCAAGCAAAAAGCAAAATATTCCTTATCAGGGTCTGGAAAAAATACCCAGTTCTACTGGGAGTTTGTGTTTCTGTTTTGGAATACAGTTGATGCTGGTGGATCAGGAAAAAAATGAACTATGTACACAGAATTGTTTAGAAATTTGGGGGCGATGGGGGTGGGTGTTCTATTTCTGCAGCTCAGGTTTTACCACAGATTTTTCCTGAAATTTTTATGATGTTCCACATTTTACTCATGACAGCTCACTAGCCTTTGTTCCACTATAGATGACATGTTCACCTCACTGGCACAAAGATTCCCTCACACATCTGACTCTCGCTTTAATTGTTAAAGTTTCCTTTTTAACACTGCAGCATCCTTATGGATGCAGTGCACATTCTACCATCTTGCCTTTTCCTCACCCTACCAGGCTTGTCAGACACATGTCTTACCCCCACTTTCAACCCTCCCGACCCCCCATCAAGGAGAGAATTACGATAGGCTACTTAAGCAGAGACAATCCCCCAATATACCACTGAACGAATGGAAATTGTCTCTTTCAAGTCAGCCCACAGAAGGAAAACCTTGAGTTTTGTCTTCTGTCTGTACAAGAACATAAACGCGGCCATAGCATACTGGACCACTGGCATGTATCTCACTGTGGTTAGTAGTGGGAAGAACATCATGTAAAGGGGATTGCAAAGTCTGACTAAATGCTCCATTTGCTTCCTGCTCTTCGTGGCTCAGGAGTTTCCAAAGCCTTGAGCAGCATCCTTGTGCTTACACCTGCTAATCTGAACTTTATCTGACACAGATGGACTGTTGCAACAATTTGCTGACTTACCTAACAGCTACTTCATTCAGACCACAGCTGAACAGGTAACATTGTAATCATAGGGCCATGAGGTCTTATCTTGAATTTGAAAAACGTACCGTGTTGTTATGGACTTCCACCACCACTCAAGAGAAGTAGAAGAAAGTCTGAAAGAGGACAAAAAGGGTGGACACACTGTTTAGATGCCTTTGATTTCCTCCACAGGATGGGTCCTTCCTCAAGGTGCTAATGAAATCTAACACAGTTAGATCAGAGGCTCCTGAGATTTGGAAACCATATGAAAATGAAGAAGTTGCTGTTAAGGGAAGCATACATTGATAGAGATTTGGAGTGGAGAAGGCATTCAGTCCACTCACGAGATCCATCTTCAATCTTCATGTGTTTTCTCCAAGCTGTTCTGAGAATTACACAAAAATTGCTTACCACAGGCTGTGGAAGCAAGACCACATCAAACTCTTAGCAGGAAATAATTTAATAGTATACCTCTCCAGGATGTTTCTAGAGGCTCATATATGAGGATTAAGTTTTCCTTGACAGAAATTATATATGCTGTGAAATGTAAGATGTAGAGAATCACCATCAGATATCATATTTTAATACTAATAGCCATGCAGCAGCTTTTTGCTCCTTTTGCTAGGAAAACAAAACAGCTCTTTCTAAACATTGAAGATTAGCAGTATGTGAGCTTCTACAAGTGACAGGTCAAAGATTGTGGAATTTTATGTGTGCACTGGTGCATGTAACTGGTACGGATACATAATTTAGCTGTAGCTTTGGCACATACAGTCACTGCATCTATCTGTTGTAGTTGCTTATTTTTAACACATCCTGTTCTAAAAAAATTTGACTATAAATATATTTCAAAGTCATCTTTACACTTGCTTGTTTTACACCAATAATAAAATTGCTTCTTTTTCTTTAAAGCAGTAGAAGGCTAAAATGGGGCCAGGCTAATGACATTTCTCACTGGTTATTCACACTGATATTGTCCAGAATCACATAGCTTTTTTTATCTGTCACATCTGCCATTGGAAAGAGGCTTGCCAAGGTAGAAAGATGAAAGCCTTGTTTTTCAAGCTAAACTTTATGGGCAGGTTCAGGCCTGACAACATATTTTACAGTCACTCTACCCATGTATTTCCTCCAGATACTGAAACAAAGCTTATATAAGAATGACAAAAGCATATACATGTTTTTAATCTCCAGATACTTCAGATATGAATATTCTGTGATGACAAAATATAAGACACTGGACACCCTTTGGTGCTTATAGATTCTTTGTTCCTGCTTTGAGCTTTTCTACAGATATTTTGGGCCTTTCTGTCCATTGACTATATGAAAGAGGCTTCCTCTGAATGAAGAATTGTTAGTACAGATCACATGGAGAATTACAAGAGCTTTTGTATTGCCTGGCTGTTGTTCATGCCTTACCAGAAAAAAAGGCCTTTAATGCAATTGCCAACCACTCAAATAAGCAGGTCAGGGATTTGCAACTTTTATTCTGGCATTAGAAGACACAAATTAAAGTTCCAGAATCCCTCACTATCACAAGGAAAAGCCATACAAGACATACATCTGAATGAAAGATGGTTGCAGACTACTTTCCCTGACTCAGCCCATTCCGTCAGGGGCTGGTATTTGCCAGAGATACTCTGATTCTCACTGAGGTGTTTCACCAGGCAGAAGTGTGAGTTCCCAGAAATGGGAAAGAGGTTTTTTACAGGGAGATCCTTGTACCATTCAGATTTAACCTGAGGGTGTAAGCTCATGTTTTCACTTGTATTGACTTGTTACAAGATTCTGAGATTCTGTGCTACAGAAATGGGAGAGTTTAAACAGGATGATAGTTTCAAATAGCTTGCTAGATCATAGCTAGGTGTTTATGCCACCCAACTTTGAGCACTGAAATAGTCAGTTAATGACAGAAGACCACATATGGCTGTCATGCACTTGTTGAAGAAAATCAAGCATGGCGAAAACAAACACGATGGTAAAAGGCTTGTGCTTACAATGCCTACATCTACCTCTCTGTGCTTTTGTATGCTGTTGCCTCAGGTTGTAAATGCTTTAAGAAAGGCATTTTTGTCTTCCTCCAAGTGGTGAAGTACTCCTCCACCAGATGCTGAAATATTCCAGACCACTGAAATAATCTTTTGCAGTGCTATTAAGACAAAGCAGCTGTCTCTGCATATTTATATGTGAAAAAAAAGAAGTAAGATTTGTGAGAGGAATGTAGGCTTGGCCCCTCCATCACTGTCACTGAAAGAGACCTGTAGATATAAATCAAGTAAATGAAGTAATTAAGAGAAGAACAGAGAAGCATTTGCTAGAAGGGAGATATACAATGATCAACCTCAAGAAAATGAGCTTCAAGCTGTGGTGCTTCAGCTGGTGTTAATGGACATAGAGCTCCTGGAACCTCCAGACTTACAGCAGTACCTGCCAGCTGTGTTTGTAGCCTTTTGCCACTCTGCTACCCTCAGGATGATGATAAGGATTTAGCACACACGTAAAAGGGTCCAGCTAGTTGCATATGTGCAGTGTAGAGGTCATGGTAAATGATTCTGTACTAGGACACTACACTGTCCTGATACCAAGATCTGTGGGATTCAGGAGATCTATGGAAAAAGAATCTGGCTGGATGCCTATTCCAGGAGGCTGCCATGTACCCCCTATCACCAGTGACCACTGTAAACCTGGCTGTGGTACAGCTCTTGCATCCCTTGCGGCAGTGTTGGATGAATACTCCCAGAGGGTGGGAGGCTCAACGCTAGGAAGCAGGGAGAAGGAGCCAAAAAGCAGAAGTGGTCAGGAAGGGTAGCATGATCCACAGGAGGGTAAGACCAAAAATACTGGATAGGAATAGCAAGGGTCTGTAGCATGTAAACTAGGCATTGGTGTGACTGCTGTAGAGCAACGCTGCTGGGCAGAGCACTAGCCCGCTGGGTAAATCAGAGGGAGTTCAGGAAAAAGCCTGAAAAACAAATAAAGGGCTGGAAGGCAGTCGGTCAGATTGTG